TCAGCCCCGAGCGCTCTTGGCTGCAAACCTGAGTTAGCATTTAATTATTTAACGACTTCTGTTCGCTTTGAATTGAGGTAAGCGTTTTAAAATTAAAATCTCGGGGTGGAATCATAGAATCACGTTGGTTGGAGAAGCCCGTTAAGATCATCGAGTCCAACCGTTCCCCTAGCCCTGCCACCCCACCACTAACCCCTGGCCCTCAGCACCTCATCTGCCCTTCTTTTAAATCCCCCCAGGGATGGGGACTCGACATTGAGGTAAGCGTTTTAAAATTAAAATCTCGGGGTGGAATCATAGAATCACGTTGGTTGGAGAAGCCCGTTAAGATCATCGAGTCCAACCGTTCCCCTAGCCCTGCCACCCCACCACTAACCCCTGGCCCTCAGCACCTCATCTGCCCTTCTTTTAAATCCCCCCAGGGACGGGGACTCCACCGCCTCCCCGGGCAGCCCCTCCCAGAGCCCGACAGCCCTTTCGGGGAAGAAGTTTTTCCCAATGTCCAACCTAACCCTGCCCTGGCGCAGCTTCAAACCATTCCCCCTTGTCCTACCGGCCATTACCAAAAGTGACACTTTTTTCAAGTAGCACTTTAAAAGTCTGCTGCCCCTTTGTTATTTGCTCAATATTCACTTCTCCCCCTTTTGCTCGGCTCGTTCAACCCCTCCTGGCTTTCGGAAAGGTTCTCCAGCAACGCACAACGCTGCCCGCGGCTGCGCGCCTGGTTTGGGCATCGGTTAGAAAATGGGAATTATTTCTCTGCTCTTACTGATGTGCGTTTTCTGCAGTTCGGGGCCGCTGAGCTGGCGCGTCCCTGAGTGGGCCTGGGCGCCGGCGCCTCCCGTCCTGTCGTGCCTTGCAGGGAGCCGAGTACCAGCTGCGCCTCTCCCTTTTCGATGCCACCTACCACCACTTCTTCGGGAGGACATGGAGGAGCAGCCGGCGAGCTGCCCGTGCCGCCCCGCAGCACCCGGCCAGGGTGGCTTTCAACGAGGTAGGGCGCGAGGGGACGGATGGTGGGCAGGGCAGCGGCCACACCGGCTGGGTCTGGGAAAACGCTGACAGCCTCCCGGGATGGGGCGGCACGAGGCGGGGAGGGGGCAGCGATCCTGCAGGGGGGCGTCTGGGGCTGCAGGAGCTGAGTTCGAGCGGGGAGGCTTTTAATGCACAAAGGGAGAAGACGTCCTTGTTCGAGTTCAGCCTGGAGCCGCTCTCCTTTGGTGCTGGTTTACTCCGTCAGTCTGGTGGAAGCGGAGCTCAGAGGGCTC